ACCTTGGGTATCATTCCTCAGGTGCCAGCCTCCCTGGTTATTTTGAGATAGAATCTCTTGCTGGCCTGGACCTTGCTGATTAGGCTAGATTGGCTGGTATGGTTATTTGAGCAAGAATGGTCCCCATGGGCTATTTGAATGCTGGGTCATCAGGGAGTGGCACTACTTGAGAGGGATTAGGAGGTGTGGCCTTGTTGGAATAGATGTGGTCTTATTGGAAGAAGAGCGTCACTGGGAAGGGGGCAGGAGGGGAATTGAGGTTTCAAAAGCCCAAACCAGGTCCAGTGTCTCTCTATTTCTGTTGCCTGTGGGTCTAAATGTAGAGCTCCCAGCTGCCCCTCCAGCACCATGTCAATCTGTGCTGCCGCCATGCTTCCCATCAAGATGTTAATGGACTAAACCTCTGAAAACTGCAAGCCAGCCCCAGTTAAATGCTTTCTTTTTCTTTCTTTCTTTCTTTCTTTCTTTCTTTCTTTCTTTCTTTCTTTCTTTCTTTCTTTCTTTCTTTTTTTTTTTGTAAACACTTTACCAAGAGAAACTTACCAGTGTGCCCTCAAACAGGAAAGAGTGCCACCATGAGGCAGTGATATCTGCCTCATACTTAGATTAGAGGTGATGGTATAGGTGCTGGAAAAGTATCTTTGATGCATCACTGTCCCCAGATGTTATAAAATCTCCCTCCGAACCAAGTCTAAATGTTCAGAGCATTCTTATCGCCGTGAAATTGCTTTGGCCACCCAAGTATACTGAGTGACACTTGTCAAAATGCCAGTCACCCGCAGGAGGATGTCCAGAACACAAGCCTGTATTTACCATAGGAATGCTCCCTTAAGAAGATTGAGGGAGGAGTTTTTCTGAGCAACTGCTCTGTGTTTTATCTTCCAGCACCGTGGATGTTATAGCTGCGTATGTTTCTTTTTTTGCTCTAGTTGCTAGGAAACCCAGGGCAAAACTGCAGACCTCCACTGGCAACAGCACAGTACCTTTGCAGACCTTTTACACACTCTCTCGGTTCATTTGCTTACTGTTCTTTTCTACAGCGCTTCTATTTCTGGTGCCTCCACTTTGCTTCTCCTCTGCAGTCAGTGTGGAGCATGTCCTGTGGTTAGTACGGTCCGGGCTGAACACAGAGCAACACCACCCGCCGCCAGATCCTTATCAATAATTTCAGCTCACTTGTGGCAACTATGGAGTTAAGCAGTCATATGCGCTGAGAGCTTCTTCCAGTCTTGAGGTTTCGGGGCGGGGGGTAGGGGGGGAAGTGGTGGGTTATTCTCTCCCGGCTCCTGCCATCAGACGGTGTCCTCATTATCTACCCTGTGAGTCATCACGGTCCTTTCTTTGGTCGCTTCTGTGTCACCACAGTGTATCCCACAGAGCATCCTGAATGCCTCATGCACTCTCATCTAGAACATGGAAGCTTTTGTAAGAACACATACTCAGCTCTTTCCCTGCCCCCTCTTTGCAATACTGGATCTCAAACCCAGGGCCCGGTGTACACTAGACACACACTCTATCCCTGAGCTACAAACCCAGTCACACAAACTAAAAAATGAAACACCAGAAAAGAGGCAGCGAGGGAAGGCCCCTGGGGCCAGGGGACTAAAAAGTGAAAGGTTGGCTGATTGCTGTCGTAGTTTCTGGAAGGCTGTCTATCTGAGGGACCTCATCCATAATTAATAAATGGGATTTCTTGTTTCCTGTGTGACCAAGCTCCTCAGGGTCTTGCTTTCATTTCTCCTCACTGCTGGACACAGATGTGCTGAGGGGAATCCCCAGTTTAATTCTCACTAGCCAGTTGTTGAGTTGATACTACAAAAATGGTGTTCGATTTCTATTTCTGTTTTATCCCCAGGACACTTGGAATCAATCTGGTGCTTGGATATAGCTATAGACTTGGCATTTACATTTTACGGGATTGATGCTTCTTAAAAAGCAAATAAAAGACTACCTATAAAACAAACAAACAAACAAACAAACAACAAACAAAAAACCTGCATTACCTGAATGCCTTCAAACTTTAAAACATTTGTGTGGATGGGTATTTTGCCTTCATGTATGACTGTGCACCGTGTGGGTGTGTGGAGCCTATGGGGGCCAGAAGAGGGAGTTAGATCCCCTGGAACTGGAGTTACAGATGCTTGTGAGCTGCAGCATGGGTGCTTGATATTGAACCTGGGTCCTCTGGAAGATCAGCCAACCTGAGCCATCTCTTCAGGCCCTCTGAATGTCTTTTTAAACATCTGGATTTGTCCCTCTCTCAAACTTAAATTACTAAGCTGTGCTGAGGGAGACCTTGACCTATGGAACAAACCTAGGCAAACCTGGGGTGCATGCCCCCACATTTTCCTAAGGTACCATTCCCAGTGCTCTGCTGCTGGCTGGCTGTGGGATCCTGAGGACAGCAACTGAAAGGAGATGCGAGTTCATCATTTTTCTCTTTTGTCCTGTGACTCTGAGCAAAGTCAGCTAACTTCTCTGAGGTCTCTACATCTCTATCCTCAAATGGCTCTGCATTCTTTAGAGACCTGCTGTGAGGATACCAAGAGACAAAGGCCAGGCAGTGGTGGTGTGTGCCTTTAATCCCAGCACTCAGGAGGCAGAAGCAGGTGGATCTCGGTGAGTTCAAGGCCAGCCTGGTATACAGGGTGAGTTCTAGGACAGGTACCAAAGCTGCACAGAGAAACCCTGTCTCAAAAAACCAAATAAATAAATAAATAAATAAATAAATAAATAAATAAATAAATAAATAAATAAAAATAAATTAAAAAAATAAAAGAGAGACAATGATGGGGATTGCTTTTTAATCCACTGGGTACCTGTTGCAGATGGGGTTATATTTTCGGGGCTGGGACTACTCACAAGCCCAGGGCATGTCCCTACGAACACTTCCCACTTGCTATTTATGTTTTCAGCTTCAAAATTAAACAAAACAAAACAGAACACTGAAAACACAAGTCCAATCTGCCTGTCGTAAACTTTAAAGCTTTGTCAGCTCTCGGCCCAGGGATGTTGGTTGATTATGCCATCAAGGTAGGTGCCACTAAACTACCTGCTGGTGGCAATGCCCCCGACCCCTCTCAGGTAGCTCCTCTTTGCCCTTCTGACTCTTCCCCTATGTTGAATCCGTGGTTCTGGTTTTATGGCCTGCCTCTGTACTGATGGGACCCAAACTTGAATCTACAGCCTTTGCCTCTTCTGCTGGCAGACTACGACTCCCAGCTGCCCTTGGGATGGTTGGAACACCGTTCGTACTGAAAACTCCAGAACAAGCTCTTATACAGTCTCCTCCCACTTTGTCCAATTCTTCCTGGCATCTTTCACGTTTGTTTCCTCCTCCCTTTCATTACCATTGGCTTGGTTCTGGTCCTATCATCTCTTGCCAGGACAAATTGTAGGAGCTTCCTGATTGGTCTTCTCTGGTAAGCAGCTGTCCACACCGCAGGCTTTTAAAGACGCCCCTCTCCTCCGCTCAGCCCTTCCTCACCCTTACAAGTGGCTTCCTGCATGTGAGGTTCTGTGAGAGGAGCCCTGATCACCTCTCATCTTCTCCTCTCTGTCCCACAATGTTTCATCATTTCCACCCAGAGCAAACGATGTGCAGTCCATGGCATGGCATGCTCTGGGGCATGTTCCTGAGCCTTCTTTGTTACTCTTGAGTCAGGGTCTCACGTATCCCAGGCTGGCCTTGAACTTGCTAGGTAGCTGAGGATAACCTTGAACTCCTAACTCCCTCTGCCTCCATCTCCTAGTGCTGGGATTTCAGATGTGGCCCCCATCAAAGCCAGTTTATGAAGTGCTGGAGGGTAGAGCCCTGGGGTTTGTGAACACCAGGCAAGAGAGCACTCCACCAACTACATTCCCGTCCTCAACTAAACAATTTTTATAACTATAATTTTGAATTTAAAACAAACCAAGCATGGATGAGAAAGAAGTAAGTAAGAAGATGAGGTCCGGCAAGTGTCTAGGTAGACAGGAGAGATAGGGCGGCCAGAGGGCCTCAGGGTATCTAGAGAAGGCTAAAGCAACCAGGTATGAGAGGTGGTGGAGGACTGGGCTGGCCTGGGGAGCTGGCCTAAGGGACTGGCCAGGAGGAGAGAGGCACTTTGGGGAATGAAGGAGGAGGTAAAGATAAGGAGCACTCACGGAAGAGGTCCAGGTTCCCCTGAGACTTCTGAGAGAAGCTTTGGAGAAGCCACCGTTTGGGCAGAGGTTTTGCTTTACCTCTATGTTGTTCTTGAGTTTTCAAGAAAAGCTAGAATGGGAATTAGGAGAGCTGGCTTTGGAACAACTGAATGGCCCAGAGCAGGCTCTTGCCAATCAATGGTTCATTTTGCTCACGTTTAAAATGAGCCAAATGAGACCGTGGTGCAGACAGGAAGACATGTACTCTGCGGCTCCCGTTGTTACCCAGGAGCCCACTTCTCGTCCCTTCCCCAAGGCCGTATCAACCAGGCTCAGTCCCAGGGGGCTTCCTGAGCACCCCCACCAGAAAGCCAGCTCAAGTAGAACAGCTGTCACCATCACGCTCTACAACCAGCCATCTGTCTGGCAATATTCCGAGGAGAGCCCTTGCCTTCTAGTCTTTGTAACCCCGGGGAACCTGCCAGGCTAGCTGGTGGTAACCTGGCCTCCAAGCACGCTTACAGACAAGGAACGAATGCTACCCCAGTGTCCTACACCAGGGCATTCTTCTGAGGGTCAGTTCTGCTACAAAAAGGACAGAGAGCGGTGTGCTGAGCAGTGTAGGGGAAGCATTTCATACTTGTTAACTCTGTTATTTTCCACAGTCGTACGATGGAGCAGGTTATCCCCATTTCACACACAGAGAAAAGATATAGAATGCTTCAGTAACTTGATCAAGGTCAAGGGCTGGTGAGCGAGTCGCCAGGGTGGAAACCAAATTTTCCACTTGTCCCAAGAACCTTGGTTGCGGCCATTGATGACGGCTTGCGGGGCGGGCGGGGAGGTTCCAAGGTTCCTGGAGCATCTGTCCCTGTGGGTCTCCGAGCGGATCTCGCGGGCCTGCACGCTCTGACACCCTCGGGTCTGGCTCCACCCTCCGCTGGCCCTTGGCTCAGCCCAGCGCCGCTCCAGCTCGAGGATGCCCAGCTCCCGGCTGTGACCTGCGTCCTCCGCCCGGCCACTCCTTTTCCCTGAGAGCAAGCGCCCTGGGGCTCTTGTCTCGCCGCGGTGGCCTCTGAACCCCCCGCATTCGTTAGGAGGAGCAGGGCGGGGACACCTCTCTGGATCGTACCGCGGCCCTAGCGCACCCGGGTGGCGCCAGTGCGCGCGCGGGGCAGCTGCGGGCGACGGGGACGCGCGGAGGGGGACGCAGCAAGGGGGCGCCTGGAAGGGCAGCGGCGAGGGGCGCGGCGCCGGCGGAAGCTGGGGTGGGGGCACCCGGGTGCGATGCTGTGAAGGGCGAGCGACGCGGCGGCGGCGGCGGCGATGAGTGCCTCTGCGGCCACCGGGGTGTTCGTGCTGTCCCTCTCAGCCATCCCGGTCACCTACATCTTCAACCACCTGGCGGCCCAGCATGAGTGAGTGAGCACGCGCGGGGTCGGCAAGCGCCTGCAACTTTTCCGCGGGACTGGGGTCGCGTCCCGGGAACTCCACTCCCGCGGCATGAGGGAGCCAGCCCGGTCACCCGGCCCTAGGTCCTCAAATGGGCTAGGGCAGTTCAAGGTCTGAGGGCTGGGCACCTGCTCTTGGCTGGTATTGAGTGGGTAGCTGGGATTACGGAGGTCAATACCGCAATGCTCCTGCCTCCGAGGCTCTCGGACACCAGAGCAACACGGGAGGCATGCATGAGCCTGCCTTATTTGATAGGATCGTTTTCCATGTATGGACTTTCACATACTTACCATTTTTTTTTTTTTTTAAATTTTAGAAACTGTTGTGAGAAACTAGCAGAAATAGCCCTAGTTCTCTGGGCCTGGCTTAGCTGCCGACGGGGTGGCCTGGCTTTAGTGTTCTGGTCTGACAAATGGACAGAATTTACACCCTAAGGATCTTGTGAGAACCTTGTGGAGGGGCGCTGCTAAAGGAATAGGATGCTGGCCTGGAGCAAGGGCACAGGGGTGCACTGCTAAGGAAGCGAGTGGAGCCGAAGGCGTCCATCAGGACTCCGGGTCCCAGTCTCGCCTTCCGCTTCTCTAAAGGAGTCTCTGACCGACCAGCCCTCACGGGCAGCGAAGGCCCAGCTGGTTAGTGGAAAGGCGCCAACGGCGGCCCTGCTGAAGCTGGTTACTGCCTGCTGGAGGAGGAAGTAACCTGCTACGGTTTCCACAGCAGTTGGTGCTAAGGAAATTGCATCAGTCTATATACCCTGCAACCCCCTCCAGACCTCCAGACCGCTAGCGGAGTATGCACACAGTCATGGATTTTCTCTCACTGCTCTGGTCACCCCATCCAGACAACCTGAGCACTGAGAAGCTCTCTTGGGCGCAGGTTGCCTCTGCCCTTGGACCAACCCCATCTTTGGGGCATCTCCTGAAACGGTGGCTCTGGGCAGTCAGATGTTTCGCGCCTGTCGATAGAGTATGCGGGGAACTTGGCTCCTAAAGTAGTATAGTGCCATGAACAGCGCAGTGAACATTTATTGAACACCCGCTCTGTGCTCTGAACCCTTGCAAAAGTTGGAGACTGGCTGAGAACAGGCCAGGAATTGCTGAGGAGCCATGAATTAAAATAGACATCAACAGATACATACATAAGCAGAGAATTGCATGCTAGGAAGACCACAAAACGGGGTGGCTGGGGGCGGGGGCAGCAGCTCGGGAAGGTGTTTTGGAGATAGGGACGCTTCAGCTAGGGCAAGATCTAGGGGCAGCACTTGGTGAGCATAGGGAGGGGTGAGCCCGGGAGGGGGTGAGCCCGGGAGGGGAAGGAAGTGGTTGTGATAGGCAGGTGTTTGTTGGAGGAGCTGTCTAGGAAGGGCTGGCGGTGGTGGTGGTGAGGATTTGATGACGGATCACTGTGTGTTAACTGATCAGTGCTGCGGCCCGGGGTGAATTAGTTCCCGCCATTCGCCCCATCCTCCTCTAGGAGAAACCCGGCAATCCGTAACACCTCCCTCATGCTTGTTCGCTCCCTTCTTCCTCCCGGCCCCTTCCTGGTGAGTCTGCTCTAGTGTCTGTGCCCTCCTCTGAGTTCCTTTGGCACCGGCTTCCTTCCCAGCGGCGCCTCCCTCCTGTCTCAGCCCCCTGCGCGCGCATCTGAGCCTCAACTCCCACCCCACTCCCACTCCCAGAGCGTCAACCCTCTTTGATTTTTGACACTGGTCCACCTTCTTGTCTCTGTGGCTGTCCTGTCTTCCTTTCTCCCCATTGCTGGTTGCTGACGACATACTTAACTTGATGGCCCCAAGTAAGTGAAACCGCCCCTTCTTCGTTTGTGGGTTCCTCCTCCAAATCAGGGATTTCTGCTATGAGCCCCACCCCACCCCCACTCATGACTCACGTTTCCCACAGAGTTCCTTCCTGTGGCCTGGCCGGAGCTCACCTTCCCGGGCTGCTGCTCATGTGGGTACTGCTCTGCCCCGCCCTGTGTGCAGCAGGCTTTCAGTTACACTCACCTTTCATAACCCAAGCGTCTGTTTCCCCAGGCCTTTTGTGAGACTCTGAGAAGCAGGATGATCAGCTAGATTGAAGGGTCAGGAAGGAGTTAGGGGGCTCTCTCACATGCGCCCACATATGTTCAGTTATGGTGAGATCTGGGGACAGAACCTTGCAGGTGTTCTGGGGTATGTGTGAGCTTGGTAAGGAAGGGGGAGGGCTGGCCTGGTGTTTGCTGTATGGCAGCCCAGAGGACTCAGCAAAGAGCACCGGTCACTTTCCCCACCACTCAAGGCTAACAACCCATGCCTTATTCATAGCACCCTTTACCCATCACCTGGAGTCACAGACCTGTTTCTGCCCACCTTGGGCCTGTGTTGTTTTCCCCAGGGGGTCCCCAGGAACAGAGCTGGGAGGCCGACATGACCTGCTGCCCCAGTTTCTCTTCGCCTGTCTTCCTACCTCAGAGGTAGAGAGCGTGAGAGGACACTCTGAACTAAGTCATGCTGTCTGTCCTGCTCCATCAGAGCCCAGGCCCGTGAGCACGCTGGCTGTGAGCTCAGCCACTGGTGTCCAAGGATGGGGTCGTCTGCTGACCAGCACCAGCCTCTGGGCTCATCGTTGACACCCTGTCATACGGCTCACCTCCCTGCTCTTCTCCTCCCTGGGTATCCTAGAGCGGCATCATGCTTGTGAGCCAGGGCAGCTTCCCCTTCCTCTGCTCTGGGCCTTTGGGAGGAGCCTGGAGAATCCGCAGGTGTGGGGTATCAGAAACCTTCCCTTTTTTTTCCCCCAGCCCAAGATCCGGTTTCCTTCTCATCATGCTATAGAATTCATCCATGCACGATCCAGTCTCTCACCGACCACCACTGCATCCACTATCCATGTCTCTTACCTGCCCATCGTCTCCCCCTCTATCCATTCATCCCCCCTTTCCTGCCTCCGCCCTTGTCTTCCTCCTTCCCCAGGGGTATGGGGTGAAGATTATCTGAAGATCCCAGTGTTTAGGCCATGGTGTGGAGGTACCCCAGCTGTGGATCAGTGCTTGTAGCATCACTGAGTGTTAGTACAGAGCTGATGGTATATAACAGACAGATAGGGCCACGTAGGTATTCGTCCAGGATAGGAAGGCCAGCCAGTGTTGGCAATCTGGGTATCTCGGTAGGGCTGGGGTGACCTTATGGGAAGCCGAGCTCAGAACTCATGGAGGTTAAGTCCCCTGTAGACAGAGGCCACTTGAGTTCATCTGGAGTCTCCTAAGGCCAGCAACAGTGCCTGCCACATGGGGAAGCACACTGCAAGCTATGGGTCTCTCCCCGGAGAGCGCAATCATGATGCAGTTCAGTCTGGGGGTTTATGGCTGGCCCAGGGGGGGTGGCGGCAGACTTAGTGGTTAGACCCGTTAGCTCTCAGGGTAAAGCGTTGGAGAAACAGGAGGGTAGAGGCAGCTGGGCTGCAGCCATGTTAGGGATGAGGGAGGGTGGGGAGGGAACACGCACACAACACAGGTGGGAAGGAAATGAATGAGCGACCTGGGTTTCCGGGCCATGAGCGCTACGGGGCTGTGACCCAGAGAGGCCAAGGTGCTGTAGATAAGCTGCAGTTGCTTTTCAGTGCCAAAGCCGAGGCTGGCTTCCAGGAGCCTTCTGCAGCTCGGGGAGCGAGAGCCTTCAGTAGCCAGGAAATTCCAGGCACCATTGTGCTGACTGTGATTAGTGACCACCTCCCTGCTTTGGTCCCCACAGTTCCTGGACCATTGTTGGCGTCGCTGCCCTCATCCTGCTCCTGGTGGCCCTTTTGGCTCGGGTCCTCGTCAAAAGAAAACCCCCGCGGGACCCTCTGTTCTACGGTAGGTTGGCTGCTAGGTGGACTCCTCAGAGGGAAAAGGTTTGCATGCACCCTGGCAGGGAGCTGGGCATTGGGTACATGTTCCTTCTGGGCTGCTCTGAACCCACTGCTGACAGAAACTGGAAATGTAGGGCTCTTCAGGGCAAGGCCCTTCCCGCTGAGCTCCCCTTCGTGGTGTCCACTTTCTAAATAGAGTTCTTCTAGGGAGTGACTGGCAGGCCCAGGCAGGCCTCCTCCAGGCACCCCGTGGAGTCCCCAGCATGCTCTTCCCTCAGCCTCCAGGCTGGGCTTCCTGCCTTCAGCTGGCTGTGGGCATGTGGGATTGAATTTACCATGTCTCAGTCTACGCCAGTGGTTCTCAGCCTTCCTAATGTGGCCATCCTTTAATACAGGTCCTCATGTTGTGGTGACCCCCCCCAACCCCCCCAAACCATGAAATTAGTTTTATTGCTACTTCTTAACTGTAATTTTGCTACTGTTAAGATTGTAATGGAAATATCTGATATGCAGGATATCTGATATGCGACCTCTGTTGCAGATGAGGGATCGTGACCCACAGGTTGAGAACTCGGGTCTACACATTTGTGTAAAGAGGAAAATAATGCCTTGGGGAGCTGGTCAAACATTAGTATTTGTTAGGGACTTCGATCAGCATCTGAGAAATAAGCGTGTATATTAAACAAACAAACAAACAAACAAACAAACAAAAAAGCCATTGTCATGTGCCTGACAAGGTTCTGAGCCTTTCAGAAGTATTATTTTAATACTCATAACAAATATCCCTCCGCTTGGCTAGCTAGAGATACCAGAAATGTGGTCAGAATCAGGGGGAACAGCTCCGGACCCCTTTCACTATACATGCTGCCTCAGTCAAAGCTGTGGCCGGTCTTGCAGTACTTCCTGTGGCCAGGGATTTTGTTAGGTATTTTATTCATTTCATTTCATTTCTGTTGATGTCAAACAGGCCTCACATCTCTGTAGCTCTAGCAATGGGCATCTATTTTCCTTGCTCACCGACCTGTGGGTTGGCCGAGACACCCTGCTCCAGGCTGTGAACAGATTTAGGACTCTACTTGTGTCTCCTCATAGTTCCCCTCAGCATACACCAAGGGCTAGAGGAAGGAAAGGAATGTCCCCACTGCCTTGGTTAGAGCTGGCCCCTGTCACTTCTAGCTACATCTTAAGGTCAGAGCAAACCGCGTACCCTCACCAAAGGCACGGGAAGCATTCTCTGCCCACTATGAGCCTTGGCAAAGGTGGAGAAGGAAGGAATTATAAATGACCAGTTTCTCTCTGTTTGCACACACACAAAACTGAAGCTCAGAGAAATCGTGAGCCTCTCGTGTCTGGCTGTGCCTCTCTGACCTCAGAGCTGGGTGGGTCCTTATTCCCACTGGACTCTACCTGCTTCGATCTGGTCCAAGAACAGTCTCCCTCTGCTGCCTCTCCTCCTTCCTTCTCCCACCCAGGGAGCCCACGCTTAGTCTGCTGACACATCCCCCATCCTCGAGGCAAGCAACCGCTCTTGTGTCTTCAGCTCTGTTTCAGCTTTGAGGACCCTTCAGCCTTGGGGTCCAGCCCTGGGCTAGGTTCCTCATCTATCAGGAGGCAGAGACTGTGTGTCACCTCTAAGACAGTATCTGACCCTCCACAGGTGTCACCAGCTGCGAGTGGATTACACACCCAGTGCCTTGTTTTCCAGGAGACACGTGGGCCTCAGTGGAGCCTAGTGAAGCACCCCTGGGGGCCCCTCACCCCCTTTGGTTTTCCCCCGAGGCAGCTTCCCCACTCCCCTTTTGGGTTTTTTTTCCCACAGCTTTTTATATTCACAAATTGGGTCTGCTACCTGCCCCTTCCGGTTCCACAGTCTCGGATATCAATTTATTATAACTGAAAATGCAGTTTTCTCGACAGACTCACACGCCCCGAGTGGGATCGCCAGCTGTTCAGAAGCTCTGGCCTTTAGCTGGCCACTCTAGTATCCAAGCCCAGTTAGGGGTTTTGTGCAACGGGCCGGATTCCGGGGATGCGGCGGCTTTCCTCCGGGCATCCTCAGCTGTCCCATCTCATGTGCATTTTTAAAAGTCACTGCCTTTTGCCGGGCGGTGGTGGTGCACGCCTTCAATCCCAGCACTCAGGAGGCAGAAGCAGGCCGATTTCCAAGTTCGAGGCCAGCCTGGTCTACAGAGTGAGTTCCAGGACAGCCAGGGCTACACAGAAAAACCCTGTCTCAAAAAACAAAACCAATCAACCAAACAAACAAACAAACAAAAAACAGAAACAAAAACAAAAAACCAACCAACCAAACGTACAAAACCCCAAACAACAAACAAGCAAAAAAGTCACTGCCTTTTTTCTTAAAGCTGTTGACTGCCACTTGTACACCGGCCACCCACCTGTCTTGAGGACCTCCAGGGAGGACTAGGCTAGTATGTTGGACACACTCTTAGTCGGCCTCCATGCCACACTAAGATGCCCCGCCCTTTCTAGACCTAGACTCTAGATTTCTGAGTATCTCTTCGGCTGTTTTATCACCGGCCCAGCTCCTGCTGCTCAGGTGGGATGTGGGTTTCACTTAAAGGGAGAGAGGATGGTGGAGGTAGCCTGGAAGAATCTTCTGGGACACTGATTCTCTGTCTCTGCGACATGAGTTCCCTCAGGGAGGGCCTTGGATCAGTACAGGGAGGTCCACGAAGACAGGTAAATGTCCAGCTGGTGCGCAGTACATGCAGTCTGGAAAAGCCTGAGCAACACTGCATGGTAAATGGTGGGCACCCCGTCCTTGCTGTCTCCCATGGCATGCATTTTCAGCTGCCACCTCCTTTGTTGCAGTGTATGCTGTGTTCGGATTTACCAGCGTGGTGAACCTCATCATAGGCTTGGAGCAGGATGGCATCATCGATGGGTTTATGACCCACTACCTGAGAGAGGTACGGGGTTGCTCAGGGCTTGTCCTGGGGCCGGGTGGCTCCGATGCAGGCTACTGTTGGAGTGCTGCCCCAGTCCCCTCATCCAGGGTAAGCAGACCCATGACAAGCTAGCCACAGAACACGGATGACCAGGAGGGCACTCTTTGTCCATCCCACCTCCTTCACCCCAGAACTGTTTTCCTTTTAAGTGAAGAACTTCAGATGAATTTAGTATTTGGGTTTCTCTTACTGGATTATAATCTCAGAGATCCCAAATCTATATTAAACATCTCAGGTACCAAAGTCTAGTCTATCTATCATCTCACTCAGTATTTGGGAGGCAAAGGCAGGAAGAGGGATTGCTGCAAGTCTGAGGGAAGTCTCACAATATGGTGAGTTCCAGGCTAGCCTGGACTACAGTACGGGACCCTGTATATATATATATGTGTGTGTGTGTGTGTGTGTGTGTAATATCAAGTTATTTACTTAAGCTTGCCAAGTCTGGCAATTAATACCCTACCACAAAATCACAGCACTCGAGGAAACTAGTCTTGTTTTCTAATTTATAGTGGGCTGAATCCAGTCCCAGAGAGGCCAAGTCACCTACTCAAGGTCACAAAGAAAATATGGAGCAGAGATCGAAACAATATTGTCTATTGACTTCCTGTGTTTCAAATAATGGGGAGCTTTGTTTGTCTCCCCAGGACTGTGTGAGGGGAACGTTGGAGCCAGGGAAGGAGGCAAGCTTGTGGGTATAGGGCCATGTCACGAAGTGAGATATCCTATCCATAAGGCAGCGTCTGCAAGGCCAGCAAGGGCAAGAAGATGGCCAGAGGCAGTGCAGGGCAAACAGAGAGAGGATGAGTTTCAGGGATTCTGAGTGGGATTTCGGGTCAAGTTGCGGGTGATGGAGAGGAAGGCCTGGAGTGATGTCCTGATTCCTGTATTGGGGTTGGTTGGAATGCTGGTGTTATTAAGCCAGAAGCTTGAGGAGTGAAGTTCTGGAGAGAGTCCTTGAATCCAGCTCTGTTTCTTGCCTTCAGGAGGTCACTGTCTAATGAGAAGGGAGGATGGCTTTGGCCTGGGTATGATGGCAGAGGTACATTCTCAGCACAGATGCCTGGGCTCTGGGAATGAATGCCCAGGATGGCCTCTTTGAGTTGCTGGCATTTCCATAGCATTTCAGAGTGGCCATGGGAGAGGACCACACATGCTGCTATACGGTGCAAGGGAGGGAAGGCCTTCCGGGGCGAAGGGACAGCTTGGACAAATGTCTGGAAAGGAGGCCGAGTAGTGTCTGTCTCCCCAGGAGTGTCAGCAGGGTAAGGCTGAGTTCCTCTGGGACATGTGGAGTTTTGGGTGCTTGAGGAACATCAACTAATGCCCCAGCTGGCAGGGCTCAGCAGGTTTTCTGAGGAATGGCTCCATCAGAGAGACCCAGGAACCACCCAAACAGAGTTGATACTTCAAGTCAGAGAGGAGAGTTGCTTTCGTGGGGGATGATGGACCACGGTGGGCAGAGAGAGGAGGCAGAGGGAAGCCTGGGGAGGAGGCCAATGAACCAGAGGAGGGGCCTTCAGGAGGGAGGATGCTGATCAGGGGGCAAGCTGTCTATCAACCCTGCGAGGCTGGCAAGAATTTGGGTAGGAGGTACCAGGAAGGAAGCTGGGGTGTAGCAGGGGTAGGATCTGGGGGCCCAGTGGAAGAGATGGGGCTTTGACCCGCAGGCTTTCAGGAAGAGGGATGCTGCATGAGTCTTGCCTTGCACCTGGAGGGGGGTAGATGGGAAGCAGGGAGAGGGGGGGAACCCATCTGGAAATGTATGGGTGACTCTGAAGGCCTGCCCCACGCTGTGATGAAAAGGGAAGGTCACCTCAAGTGACAGCATAGATACTTAGTGAGATTTGTCCAAAGACTGCCTAGAAGAGCTTGGAGCTGGCTGAGCTGGGTGTGCAGAGGCCAGGCAGGAAGGGCATGGCTGGAGGGAGAAGCAGGCGAGTTGAAGGAGTTCAGGTGGGTTTGAAGGGTCCACACGCGTCTGTCAATCTCCCAGAGGAGGCCGGTGCTGGCTCTCAGAGCTCAGTGTGTAGGCAGGAATGGCCGGAGCCATGAAATCAGTTGAATTATGCACACAGAGCACCACGGGTGAGAGAGAAAGGCAGTGGCCAGGCAGAGGGCTAGAAGTCTGGGTGCGGCTTTTTTTTCTGTGTGTGTGTGTGGGGTATGGTGGTGGCTGATGTCCTTGCCTGAAGGGAGCCACAGAGTTTCAGAGAATACTTCCTTGACTGGTTGATACAGTTGGGCTGCTCAGACCTCTCCTAGTTAAAGAAAGGACTGCACGCATATTAGGGAGACATGAGAAGCAGTCTGGGAGGGAGGGCATGGTCCTAGGGAAGGCAGGAAGAAAGCACCACTGAAGAGTCCATGTCTGACGGGACCCCGGAGCATGACTACCCAGGAACGGGAAACGTGCCTAGTTCATCCTACAATCTTGTGTTCATGAAACTGAAAATATCCCAGAAGCGTGGCTCTTGTTGGTAATGTAAGTGCTGCTCCTTATTAGCTACGTGACCTCAGGCAAATCTTCAGGCTCTTGAAATGTTTTCTCCTCTGTAGACAGACAGACGGTCCTGACCAGCCCACAAGTCTGCTGGGAAGGCTGAATAAAGGGCAGGTGGGAAGCTATGTGTGGAATTGGACATGGGCACCTACCTCCCCATGGACTGCCCAGCCCACCACAAGATTAGCATGACTGGTTAAGGCCAGCAGGTGGTACGAGTGAACAGGGCCTTCCTGGGCCACCCTTCCGGCCAGGGTCAAGTGCTTACAGACACAAGTTTGGCCTGGCTCCAGTTGGCTGGGATTGCCCACACAGCCACCTGATGATGCCTTTGTATTGTAGTACAATCCTTTGTTGAGCAATCAAATGCCAATTTGTTAGGACTTCTCCTATTTGATACCAGGCTTTGGCTGCCCCAGGCTAAAGTCCTATTTTCCGCAATCCTACCAACTGTGTGGAAGTGGTTTTGTCTCAGTGAGGAAACACCCCTTAGTTCTGTTGTTTTATTTGCAATACAGGTCTGGTGTCCTGCATTTAAAGATTGGAGCCTTCCTTAAAACCGCTGTTTTTTTTAATGCTTTCCTTAGGGTGAACCATATCTGAACACGGCCTATGGACACATGGTCTGCTACTGGGATGGCTCTGTTCATTACCTGATGTACCTGGTGATGGTGGCCGCCATCGCATGGGAGTAAGTAGCTCTCCTGGTGTGTGTGTGCCACTTTTGCAACTGATAAGGGGTATGTAAGGAACATGGAATCCACACACGTGTGTCAGGGCAGGAATGTTCTATGAGTTGGACAAAGCTTTATTTTCTCTGTATCACTGTCTCTGGAAACATATCCCTTTGAGTTCTCCTTGGTGGCAGCGCAGGCAGAGCGGCCCCTTCGGTTTCTGTTTTCGTGAGAACAGTCTCTCTTGGCATGGTGTTGTGTGCCTCTAATCCCAGCATCCAGGAGCTGGGGAAGGCAGATCTCTGAGTTGCAGACCAGCATGGTCTACAAAGTAAGTTCCAAGCCAGGGCTACATACACCGTGAGAGCCTGTCTCAACAAATAAACAAACACATGACATCAACAATAAACTCTCATTGTGTGTGTTTGAGTGCACATGCATGTGTACTTATATGGGAGTGTGTGCTCATTCTTGTAGGCTAGTATGGAGGTCAGAGGTTGATTGTTGGGAGTATTCCTCAATTTCTTCTCTATTTTTTAAAATTACATTTTATTTTGTATGCGTGCGTGCGTGCGTGTGTACATGCGTGTGTGTGTGTGTGTGTGTGTGTGTGTGTCCATGTGCATGTATATGTATGTGAGCTCTGGTAGGTATTTGGAGGTCAAAGGACAATTTTACAGGGATGGGATCTCTCCTTCTACCCTGTGGACCCGGAGACCTAACTTAGGTCGGCAGCAGGTGCCTTCCCACTGAGCCCTCCCATTGGCTCACCCCGTAGCTTTTGAGATAAGGTCTCCCACTGAACCCAGAGCTCACTGTTTTGTCTAGGCTGGTGACCAGCAAGCACCTGGGTCTCCTTTGTCTCTGCCCTTAGCCCGATGCTGAAGTTATGGATGCACATCGCCATGCTTGGCTGTCCACGTGGGTGCTGGAGACCTGAACTCGAGTTCTCACGCTTGTGCAGGAGAAGCCCCTTTCCCACGGAGCCACCTCCTCACCCCCAGTTTTAGGAACCAAAGTCCAGCACATTGTAATTCAAAGTTCCACCTCATTTCAGTCCAGATTCCTCTCAGCCTCTAGTGTGGAGCTGTTTCTGGGTTATCAGGTGAAGGGACATTTGGCTACCACTGGGATTAGATCAGTCCCTTTAGAACACAGGGACCTGTCATCTCTGGGGCTTTAGCCCAAACTCCGTGTGCCACAGAAAGTCCACTTTACGTTAAACTTTTATCTTTGATCCTTTTTCCCTATGCTGTGAGTTTTATACACAGTGTGGAAATACAGTCCTAATCAGTGAAGACTATGTCACAGGTCAACATGTGTGTTGTATGGAAAGCATAATTTCCTACTGAGAAGGACAGCAGAGGGGCAGGAGTGATGCTCGCTGGATACGCATCAGGACACAGGTTCAATACCCAGCATTCCTGTAATAAGCTGGGTTTGAGGGCTTGCACCTGGAATCCCAGTAATGGGGTGCAGTAGGGAGGAGCAAAGAGGTTCCTTGAGAATTGCCATCCAGCATGTGTAGCTGAGGTGGCCAGAGCGCTAGGCTCAGTGAGAAAACTTGGCTCAAAAAAATGAGGTGGAGGGTGATTGCGAAAGGAACCTGCCTGACACAGCCTTCTGGTCTCTACAAGCATGCACATGGACAGGCCTGCACATGCATGTACACACACATGGACCACACGTTTGCATGCCTGAGTGCACAAGCCCACAAAGGGTTCTGTACTGTGTCACATATGGAAGTGATCTTGATTATCAGGGTTCCCTGTGCTTATCACTTGATTCAGTGGGTTTCTATTCAGTTACTTCTGTAACTAGACTGGAAGACAATTCTGAGGATCACCTTTTGTATCCCAAGACAAGTATACTGATTCAAAACATTTTGTTGTAGGGAAAGCTACAGAACCATTGGCCTATACTGGGTCGGATCCATTATAATGAGCATTGTGGTTTTTGTGCCTGGAAACATTGTAGGTAAGAAATGTTATTTTAACGGTCATGCTTTTTTTTTGTTGTTGTTGTTGTTATAATGGGGCTTTTAGATAGAAAAGTTGTTCTTAAGCTTTATAATAGGTTCTAAGCTTATAAAAACGATTTTGCAAAGTTATTCCTACCCCGCTCTGTGCTCTCATCTTTTAAGAAGTGCTTTAGAGCCATTTTCAGAAGCGTGGACTGAACCGGTAGTTAAGCAGCCAGCATTCAGTGCATGGATACTGCTTGCAGCTCTTTGTATTATATGTTGCTTCTCACACACTATGAGAACTTATGGTAAATGCACCTGGAAATAAATATTCTTCCAGGATGAAGTAAAAGAGGTCATTTAGACATGCAGAAAATTAGGATATACTTGTTAACATAGTTTTTAATATTGTAAATAGGATATCACTATTAAGAAATATCTAATGGTTTTGACTTTTTTTGTCTTATCTAATAAAAATATTGCTAGTTCATTGCAAAATTTTAGGTGATTTGAGGTGGTAGGTAGCTTAAATATTATTTAGATATGCACCAACAGACTTTTGATCATCTTTTTGACTATCTTTTCCTCTTTTAAATAGGAAAATATGGAACACGGATTTGCCCTGCATTTTTCTTAAGCATACCATATACATGTCTTCCGGTGTGGGCCGGCTTCAGAATCTATAACCAGCCATCAGAAAACTATAATTATCCCTCAAAGGTAGTTTTATTACATTTAAATGTAACAATTCAATACTGGTGTGCAACCTCAGGCTGGCATTCTGGCAGCTGGTAACTTACATATTCCCAGACTCCCTGGGCTCACATCTCTGTGAGGACAGAGCATTGGGGCATTCAATCCACAGGACTGTGTTGATACCTTGCCATTTGCTGGCATCTTCGTTAATGTGGCAGATGGTCTGCTTCTGTCTCAATCCATCTGCTTCTACTGCCCAGGCTACACTTTGGGGGACTTCCCTTGCAGGGATCACCTTGGCTTCTGTCACCCTTCTGTGTTAGGGTGACAGGTAAAGTTCACAACATGTGGTTTGCCTGGATTAATGGCCTGTGTGTGAGCACCTGATATTTCTTTCAGTAATACCATTTACTGCTGAGGTGTTCAAGGTAATGCATAAGACCATTGGTTCTGATCCCTGGGGATACAGGCCCCAGGACACTGGCTGCAGGAGCACCCCCCAAGGCTCCTCCCCTTCCATTCACTGCCGAGGGGGTCAGTATGAAGCAAGGCTAGCCCCACAGGTCTGCTTAAATCTTTATTTCTAAGAGAGTAATTTCCTTCTCTTCAGTTTATATAATATATCCTTGAGGTAGGATCCTTTAAATCTATCTGATTTGTGAGAACAAACTACTAGTCAGAACATGATTACTCACCTTACAAAACTATTTTTAGTTTAAAATCATTATTCATTTGTTTACTTTTGAGGCAGAGTCTTAACATGTAGCCCTCCCTAGCTGGCCTCAAAACTCTCCATGTAGTCCAGGCTGGCCTCAAAATCACTGGGCTCCACCTGTTTCTTGTATGCTGGAATTAAAAGTTTGCACCACATCTGGCCAAAATTACTTGTACAAGTTGACTTCATTGGACTACCTTTTTAGGGGAGTGTTGGGGTTGAATTCATGGCCACCCGTGTGCTGAACAACCGCTCCACTACTGAGATTTACTTCTTGCTCTATGTATGTTATAATTTACACACAGTTAACTTGTAAATATTTAGCTACTGCTGTGTAAACTCAGGCCAACAGCAGCTACACTCCTACATCTCTTTCAGGAGTGAGTGGGTGTTAGGAAGAAAGGGTAAACAGTGACCCTACTTGGCCCTGGCGCCACCGCTTTGACAGGGCTCCATGTCAGTGTGTGAACAGCATTTGCATTACGAGACACACAGAACCATTTGTGTTGTTACTTTAATGGTAAAGCACAGCTCTGGGCATTGTTTGTTACACGGTGCTGTTAGGCACCATACGCTGCAGCACAAACAAAACCCAACAACCACAGAATCACCCTGCAAAGCAGTTTAGCCGTGCTTCCAACCCATTTCCATATCAGGGACCTGTCCCGAGACAGTCATCGCAGACACAAGGCAGAGGTTTCTGTGCAGGGCCACTCTCCTGAACATCAGGTGGTACAATGAAAATGTGCCCAGTGTCTTGCAGTGGGAGGACAAGTGTGGTCTCCTTAGGGTCTTTCCAATTTTTAATCACTCTAGGCTATGCTCACAGGCAGTTGTGACGAAGGCAAAATTGTTTATATTCTAAATTCTATTTTTGCAAAAAAAAAAAAAAAAGGTTATATGTTGAGTCTATGTATTTACATATAAATGTGTAGAACATACATGAGTCAGGCATGATGGCACACATGAAATCTAATCCTAGCACTTGGGAGGAGGTGGCAGGATAATCATGAATGTGAGGCCAACATGAGCAACAGAGGGAGTTCTGTGTCTGTCTCCACCACATAGTTTAGATCCTGTCTCAGAAAACCAACCAACCAACTGGCTTATCAACCAACCAGCTGACCAACCAACTAACGAAACAAAACCATACATGACGGGATGTGTGTCAACCACTAACAGTCGACAATTCTGCAGTTTCATTTTTCAAATGCAGATAACTTACTTTTATAATCATAAAAATGTAGTTTCAAGAAAAAAAAAAGGGACTCGAGCTGGAGGGGCCTCAAATCACCTGCTTAGTAGCTCCATTTCACAGAAGAGGGAACGTACTGGAGGGGAAGATACTCACGTCCAGTGGCCAGTGGTCCACGATGTGAATTGTGCATCTTCCAGACTCATTAGTCATTAGCTTGGCATTTAGTGTCGTAGACTTGTCCCTGGCTTTGGGATTGTTCTCCAACAACAAACTCCATTTTAGGTTCTTCAAGAAGCCCAAGCAAAGGCCCTGCTGAGAAGACCATTTGACTTGCTCTTGGTTGTGTGTCTCATCTTGGCGACTGGATTTTGCCTGTTCAGAGGCTTGGTAAGCATAACATCAAAATAACAATATACTATTTCAAACAAGAAAAGAGTCTGTGTGTGTGTGTGTGTGTGTGTGTGTGTGTGTGTGTGTGTAAGATCAAACTGATCACCTCCTCTTCCTGCCACAGCCTAGAGCTCTGGACTAGCTTCCTGCTGCCCTCTTGCCCCCAGTCCCCCACTCACAAGGGATGGCTCATCCTGGGCTATCTCATACCTCTTCCTTTGGGTCCTCAGATCAACTGCTGTTTAGAAGTATCTTCCTTGCCGGGCGGTGGTGGCTCACGCCTTTAATCCCAGCACTCGGGAGGCAGAGGCAGGCGGATTTCTGTGAGTTCGAGGCCAGCCTGGTCTCCAAGGCGAGTTCCAGGAAAGGTGCAAAGCTACACAGAGAAACCCTGTCTCGAAAAACCAAAAAAAATAGAAGTATCTTCCTTATTTTAGGACGCCTGAAAAACTGGCCATTAGAATCTCATTCTTTTGTTTCCCTTGATTCCCCCACCCCGATTTAAAGGCAACCATCTTTGGTTAGGGTGATTCCCTAAGATCTCAATACAGCTGTGGCTCAGAGCAACCATGTATTCTTAAGAGTAGGGGCAATGGGATCAAGGAAGAGGTCCCCGGGTAACAATTCTCACCTGTGCAGGGTCATGTGAATTTCTCACTGCTCAGGGTAATGTTGAATTAGGATTCAGGTTTGGAGTTTGATTATAGGAAGGACTCGTGAGTTTTTTTTTCCTCTTTGCCCTTTATTGGTTTTTGTTTATTTGTTTTTGGAGACAAGTTTTCTATGTAGTTGTGGAGAACACTAGCCATTTGCTAGTTGTGCTTTAAAAAAATGACACTCTCTCTGACCTATCATCTCCTTCTCTGTAAACTACTAGTACCTACCTTATATCGTTTTGAAGATTAGTGACTACCCTCCTTGGTAAGGGCCTTGTACAAAGTAAGTGTTCAATACACAACTGTTGTTAGTCTTAATTCATCAGTGGTTCTTCACAATGACCCAGCTTTATAATTTATTCTTAGAAGAAATATTTTAAATCTAGGAATTATTTGCTTATCACACTCAGTTTCACCAATTATCAACTATTCTAAACTTGCTGGGTTGTACAAGCTGAGAACAAGCCATGGAACCTGTTCTTTGGTCAGTTTGTGCTAATTTCCAAGTTCAGTCACCACCACACAATGAGATCCAACTGCATCCTCCCATGTCCTTTTCTCTGTGGGCATGTGTGCCTGATCAGATGGGTGGGGCTTGATCAGATGAGGATTTGGACCAAGGCCCAACTCTACTGCTAGCCTGCAGTCTAGGTTGTCATTTGGTAGAACATTTCATTTATGGCCAAGGATATGAGGAATGGTGCCTGAGGAGGAACTGTCTTGGTGTTTTGCCAAAATCTATTCTGTGGCCTAGAGTGTCCTCTGCAGGGACTAAATCTGCCCTCTGCTCTTTCCAAAGTGGACAGGAACGGCTTCACAGGAAGACCCTGCTTTCAAATCATCCCTTACTGCTTCCAAAGGCCATATGCTCTGTGAGGTACTGGAGAGAGGCGGATGCTATTTTTGAATCTTGCAAAGCACAGTATGATTAATTTGGTACAGAAGTGTTATTTTTCTTCTGATAGAGACTAGTTGGCTAGCTATTCCCAAGTGGAACTGGTTATCTCTACCAAGAGCTGTGCTTTGGCTCACTAAACCTAGATGCTGAAGCTGTGAATATCAGAGAGTCCCAAGAACAATGATCCACTGTTGACTTAGGCTTAGTCCTTTAGAGAAGTCTAGGTATCTGCTTTTCCTGTTACTGATGGGCCTGTAAATACAGTTTATGATGAGTCTGACTGAAGCTGGCACACACCCTCATCTGCAAATCTAAGAACAGGACTATTCATAATGAACTCATTTTGTCCTTAGATTGCTCTGGATTGCCCAGCCGAGCTCTGCCGACTCTACACACAGTTTCAAGAGCCCTACCTAAAGGACCCTGCTGCTTATCCTAAAATTCAGGTCAAGTTGTTACAAAGCCTAAGATTTTTTTTGAAGTTAATTCTCATATTTTAAATGGATAATGTCTCTACACAGAAGTAGGAATTAGCATTTATCTTTGAAAGTGTTTCATGTTTTTGCTTTTTGTTAGGTCAAGCTGTTAATTTGCTCATTTCTTTTTACACAGATGCTGGCGTACATGTTCTATTCTGTTCCTTACTTTGTGATTGCACTTTATGGCTTAGTGGTCCCTGGATGTTCATGGATGCCCGATATAACGCTGGTCCATGCTGGAGGTCTAGCTCAGGTACTCAGATAAGAATATTCCCTTTCGAGAAAGTTCTCTAGCGACCTAGCTGTCACTGAAATTATGAAACATGTCTCTGCTCAATGTTTTGAGTAGGAAATAGTTTCTAGTTCATTGGATGACATTTCCGCCCCTCTCCCCACTCACACCAGTGATACCATCTGGTAGATGTAGTTATCTAGTGAAATTAGGGTTTCCCCTGGAGTCACAAAAGTAGCAAGTGGCACTCTGTTACAGAATTGTTTCCCAGTCAATGAACATTATGGCTACTGAGAAGAGTTGAAAGCAGTAACTCTTAAGCTGTCTATTCTACCTAATGAAGAGCCTAAGAGTTCTGCCACACAATACTCAACAGAACAGGGAGGCTGCTGCCTTAGTGTAAGTTCTGTTTCTAGAAAGCTCAGCCTGCCCTGCAGTCCCTCACCCTGGCACTTTGCCAAGTCCTTGCCTGACAGCAGGTGTTTAATGAAAGCAACAATGACCTGGAAATGAGTGGGGCCCACCCAGAAGCAAAGCACAGTAATTATACAATCATGGCGCAGTAACCATGATGGCTGAAAGACCCCAGAATCAGTGTTGAAAAATACAGTACTTAGGGGGTCAGTGGTTAAATCCTTCCTGGGGGTACTGAGTTGGACTAGTCATAGAAAAATAGATAAAACCTGCAGAAGAAATACTTCTGGAGAAATGCTTAGCTACTTTTGCTTTGTCAGCTTCTGAATCCCTATCCTCAAGGCCTTGATTTGGGCTTTTATTTCTGTCTTTTGATATCAACTGTAAGCTGGTGACCAGTCTCTTCAGCTCCAATTGCTGATTCCTAAACTTAATTCCAAACTTAATCACTGCACCTGGATGTCTCACTAGCCCATCAGGTTTTTTGAGGCACTTTGAGAAACTTCTGGAGTAAAATGGAAGCAGCACCTTTGTAATGGAAACAGGCAAAATTGAGACTTTAAACACATTTGCAAAGCAAGTATCAGTCTATAAAAGAAAACATACTTTCCCATTTGATACAGTCTTGCTTTGTAGCCCAGAATAGCCTTGAACTCAAGATCCTCCTGTCTCAACCTCCCACCACGCCCAAGGTGGCATGTCAATAGAGACTCTTGTCCTCCCCATTTCTCCTGTTGTCCATTTCCTTTGTCAATGTCAATACCTCAGCTTGCATCAGCCAGGTCAAGCCAAAAACCTGGAATCTTTTTAACTTATTTAATGTATGCAGGTGTTTTGCTTGCCTGTGTATCTATACACCATTTGTGTACCTGGTGCCTGTGGAGACCAGAATAGTAAAGCAAACAAAAACTCCCAAACAAACAAACAAAAACACAAATAAACTTCAAATTTTCTTAGGTCACTGGAAGACACACTGGGTGATTATTGGGTACTTGATTTCAGACTGCATTAGGAACCTCCCAAATCTGTCCACTTCACAAAGTACAAGCTCAAGCAAACATTTTAAAATAAAAATCAGGCTATATTTTAGGTCAAGTTACATTGGGGGACTTAAAATTAAAACCTCTCTCTATACATACACAGTGCTTGCTATAGGGCTAAAGTTGTACGTATAATCTGAGAAGTATGACAGACTCTATCAATAACTTATGAGTGTTTTCCATCAACTGAAGTATAGTCAGTTCTTAGTCATGTGCAGGTTCAGCCAACTTAAGTATGTTAAGGCCTATGATGGCTATCAGTTGTGAACAAAAAGCAGACTTTCCTTAGTCCCTAGAAGACACACTACAACTGCTTACACTGCATTTGCAGGGCTTGGTCCTGTAAGGCATCTAATGTAAGACATATAGAAAGATGTATATAGGATGCAAACACCTTTTATACAAGGGCTTGAGGATCCACGGATTTTGACATATATGGGATGTCCCAGGGTCCTGGAACGAATCCTCCTTGGATGCCAGTGGGTGACTGTACATTGTCAGAATCATTGAAACAAAACAAAAACCGGAGTTAATCTAGTCAATATGACTAGCAGCAAGAGCTGATCGAAGTCCCTTGTTGTCACTAGTTAGTTCAATGACCACTGTCACTTTACTTCTCTTCATCACCACTCTTTTCTGTAACGTTGCTGAGGTTTAAACACGGTACTACATAAAGAGCTAATGATAATGCCTGCCACGGAAAAGCTATGGGACTCCTGTTTATTATTATTGTATAGATTCCCAGAAAGAATTTAAGAGAAAAATGCCTTCTTACTGAGACTAATTCTTCTACAAGTTAACCAAAGTGTATCTCACATCTAATGATCTAAAACAACATCAACAACAGAAAAAAACAACAACAACAACAACAAAAACAAAACAAAACAAAACCTGGGCAAAGGTTTGGGGACAGATACCTGGTGGGCATTATGTAACACCACATCCACGGGTGTGTGTGTGTGTGTGTGTGTGTGTGTGTGTGAGAGAGAGAGAGAGAGAGAGAGAGAGAGAGAGAGAGAGAGAACTGAGTCAGGTGACATCCCTCCAGCTGTTTCCTCCACTCCTGGCTATACAGGGATCTAGAAGTACATCTGTGGACAGTCTAGTTGAAAAGAGTTGGCTTTCCTGGAAATTTCATAACATTTTTTCTTCACAGAAATCTTTGAGTATCTTAAAGTTTTAGGAAGCTCCCAGGCAATTAGGCTACTAATATAAATCTTTCTGCCATCTACTCTGGTGCTTTATTACCAAGCATCTTTGATCTTGAGGTTCATTTTCTTACATGCTTATCCTTTGATAGAAGGAGTTAAAAGGTCAATAAGGGGACCTAATAACAAGGAGCCCAGGTTGTCATCAGGGTGCCAGATCATGAACAGTTACTCTCCACCTGAGGTGGGCCCTGTTATCTGGTTTGTGGTGGAGCAATAATCCAATCTGGCCATCTGGTTCTCGAGTCAGTATTATTAGTGTCTATGCTGTTACTCAGAAAACCCTAAGATAACATGGTTCTGGATTATCTACTTGTATTATAGGGACCCAACACCTACAGGTTTCACCCTCTAACATTTATGTGGACATGTAAGACTCACTTCTTTTTGGAGCCAGGGTTGTGATTAGTGAGGAGAGGGATTAGGATAGGGTCATCTTTCCCTAATCTTCTCTATCAGGAATGGAAGCTATTACAATTTAGCCTTTGCTTCCTTTCATTACCTCATTTTACATTCTAAACATTCAATCTGACAAAAAAAATCATCATCTCTTATTTCTGCAAGGTAGAAAACAAGTCAAAGGGAAATGACTAGGGGTGTCTGTCAGCCCCATCACTGAATAGTGCAGTTATAACTGAAATGCAGAATTCAGCAGCACTGCATTCCCTCACCCACTCACTCGGCGCTGGTACGGTTCCCAGGCTGAGCTCCACGGGCCGTGTAGGAAGCAAATGTGCCGGACACTCCTCACCAATGTGTCGGGAAAGAAAGCCTCTTCAGGTGACACTTTTTCTTGTATCAGAATCCCAAGCACTTACCACTAGAGGAAGCTACAGTTGGGGGCACCACCCAGTTGGCTACAGCCATAAACACACCCTTGTGCAGTCCCAGGAGCTGCAGACAACTGGCCTCAGGGTCCTTTTCTCACAAGCACACACCTTTTGGTAAGAAATGTTACAATCTTCACCCCTTGTTAATAATTCTGAGTAGAATGGCTTGCTATTACAGGTATAGAGAAATGCTTTAAAGATTCTTTTTGTATTCTGATAGTCACAAGACCATTGTTGTTGAACGTTTATTGAACTCTAACAATGTGATAGGTGCCACACAAAACATTTGACACAGTATCTGCCCAGTGGGCGTACAATCTAATCTAAGGACACAGATCATTTTTTAAAATGTTGCCATGAGCTTACTATTCATGAAAATGAGGTATTAACTGCACTGTTAAGTGCAGAAAAGGGCCCACAGAATTACTGACCTTTCAGGCAGGCTTGCCTATACAAGTACACACAACTGCTCATGTTACTTATTCTTGGAAACTATGGATGGCATTTTTCTGGTCGTTTTATGATGTACACAATAATCTATAGGGAGAATCACTAAACCCACAAATCTGACAAAACCAGAGTTCAAAACTGGCCTCTAGTCCAGAATAAAATTGTTATATATTCAGATAAACAGCTATTTAAAGTAGGATCTAGAGAAAAATAGTGTCAGAGGCCAAGTTTTGTTGAGAGTCCCAGACTGTCCACAACTGCAGCTCCTCAAGGCAGCCTCCAAAGTGCCCTTTATTCTCAAGCTCTTTTATCTGTGGAGCCCTGAGATGCAAACATTTGCTGGGCCTCGGCCATCTGCCCTAGGGAGGTGTGTCCGAGGGCAGAGCCCTCTCAGTGCCTGTGGATCACAATGCAGACAATCCACCTGTTGGTCCATGTCAACACACCACAGGACTTTTATCTCCAGAGTAGCAAAAACATACTAGAGGTATCCAGAATATATCAGTAATTTATAAATTGTAGCCCATTAAAATATTCTGCCATTGATACAAATTCCTAAACACGCTGTTTATAAAAGCTTGCCCTTTTCTTGTCAAGGTCAGATCAAATGCTTAAATAGAACTTTTATGTTAGCCACTTAGCACAATCAATGTAGGAACTGTAAGGTAACAAATACATTAATAACAAATTGTCTAGTGGTTCATTCTTGTTCCTTCCGTCTCTTTAGATTACAGTACCCTTTATCTTTCCACTTTGATCATACTATACCAATGATTTATTACTTACTGCATCTAAATCCTCAGTCTTTATTCATATGTATCTTGAATTTCAAACATAAAAATGAAGACTTGAGGTTTGCATTTTATAATAACTTTTTCTGAGAAAATATTTTCTCGGTTTTTAAGCCTGCTATGGCCTGTATTACTTTTCTAATAGTTTTTCTCTGTGCTTATGAAAAGTACTAAAAACAAACGAGCCAAGCAAAACTCAACAGGCACATTTTGAATAGTCTATGTATATATAAACAGAGGGAGGCTCTTGCCTTTCTGTTCTGAAACTTGGATTATGCTGACCACTCACAATTCTAAATAGATTTCAGTCTGATTCGAAAAGGTTGCCTGTGTACATATTTGTCATTTTATAATCATACTGCTTTCCACAGCCAAGCTATTAACAGGTGTATCTTACAAACAACCATAGTGCAATTAAGTTGCACAAAACCAAATACACAAATAAACAAAACTACATGTTGATGGGGCTCTGAGCTCTTGCTTCTAGTAGTCAGTCTGATCAAAGACACTGAGATCTTCAGTGCTTCTCTTTAGGTAGCTCATTATACTAACTACAGTTTAGCTTTTGAACTCAGCTTCATTCTGAATTGTAACCAAATTTGTGAGACTTAGCTGAGTGTCTACATAGTGTTCTTAGAATTCAAATTAGAAATGTTTGGTATTCTGCATGGGTTAGGTTAAAAAACCACAACCTGGAATTATAAAAGCACACTTTAAATAGGATACATTATTTGAATAGTTACATCAAGAATGACCTTAAATTTAGTGAAATACTATGTATTAAGACTGTGGATTATCTAAAGGAATTTTGCTTTGAAGACAGGTTTTGAGGGCACATGGTCTGAACGAGTCACCCAGAATTCATCCTTAATCCAAGTGAACGATCTCATGCTTACTTTTTGTTTTTTGTTTGAATGTAAACAGGCTCAGTTTTCTCACATTGGTGCTTCACTTCATGCTAGAACTGCTTACGTCTACAGAGTCCCCGAAGAAGCAAAAATCCTTTTTTTAGCATTAAACATAGCATATGGAGTTCTTCCTCAGCTCTTGGCCTACCGGTGTACCTACAGTCCCGAGTTCTTCCTAAGAACAAAGGCCGATGAAAAGGTGGAATAAACATACCTCAGTTCTCTCTGACCCTGTTATATGGAACGGATGCTCTACTTCATCCCCTTCCAGGATACTCACGAGAATACAGATTCTACAGTGGATGTGGGAGTGAAATAACGGTATTATATAGGTATATTCTCATTTTTGAAGGGAAATTCAAGTTGAGAAACAGCTTGTTTAAAGAAATATATCAAAATTTGTCTGTGAATGTGACCATGGATCTTAACATTGCACATATTGTGTATGAAAATTACAACTCTAGTGCCTACAAATAGCATAAAAGTGAAACTATTTAGAAGTGACTAACCATATTCACTATGCATATGAAACCATTCAAAACTGCAATTACAGGTTGGAGAAATAACTTCGTATGAATTGTATGAGTCATTGACAACCTTAATATAAATGCCAGATCATCATATTTTTAAGTTGTTTGAAGTGTCTTCATAAGGAAAGTATATTACTTACTGCTGTTTTAAAAAATTGCTATCAAAACTTCTATTGTGAACTTAAATGGCTAAGATGACACAAATCAACTTTATTAGTAGCCTTAATGAACACTTGTTTTATTGGTGGCTGGTAATATTTCTCTTGTGTTTCTGTGTATACTATCAATAAAATTATTTTTGGTGTTTTATGAAGACAAACTTTATTAAATTTGAAGTATTTTATGTATACATTTTCATGACAAACTGAACTTTTTATTTAAGAAATCTGTTTGTTTTATGTTCCAATTTAAAATGTTATCTATAGTCTCCATATGTTTTAGTGTGATCGATGAAGAGGTCTTTTGATTAATTTCATTAATTTTAGAATAAAATATTTAAAATTAAAAAGTACCTTTTAAAGATAAAACCTGATGTGGTGCCCTGTCTCTTAACGAACTTTCCATACTTGGAACTAAGTACAACAGAGAAACCACTAATTACTAAATGACAAAAATAAGCCCCAAACACAGTAGCCTCTTCAGCATGCCCTGAAGGGTAAGTGGTCTGACTGCATTTAGCTCTTACAGCCCAGCATCCACTTCATCCTCACATGACACTGGGCTTTTAGGTCATCTTAACAGTTTGTCTTCATGTTCATTAGTTCTTCAACAACCTAAGACACCAGAGGGAAGTGGGATGCACATACAGTTGTGTGTAAACATAGGGGCCACTGAGCTGGTGTATTCTCAGGTGTGCAGGCAGATCATACTGCTACGCCCTCCCATCCCTCCCAATGTTTTCAATTAACCTAACATCCAAAATAGTTAAAGAGAAAAAAGATAGAAAAAATAAAATCCTCACCTGCACTTAATTATTATGTCAACTTGCTGTCAATTTTTGCTTTAATATAGGAATCACATTAATACTTCACATCACACATATGAAGCCAAATAAGACTAGCTCAGTTGTTTACAACCTCAAACCTTACTCCCAGTACACATTCCAATAAATTTATTCTGTAAAAACAATACATTTTTTTTGTTTTTGATTTTTTTTACAGTAAACTTTTCAGCTACAAACCTCAAACACACATGGAAGAGATGTTCCAAGGACGAGCATAACAGAGTTGATGAAACCCAACTGACTAATGTGTTCTCACAGTATAAGCTGGCATAAAAATAAATAAGACTCTCTAGTATCACAATAGCGACAATAATGTACACATAATAATCATTTGCAGATGAATGTTAACTACTCTAATTCTAGTTCCAAAAGAAAAGTTTATTTTAAAAGTCTATATTCAAGAGTCAATGCTTTGTCTGGTTTCCCATAGTGCTCCTGCTGATTTCAGCTTTCAAGTGTAAAGTGACCACCTTGAGTGATTAGCTCAAATCATATTGGCATTGGGAAAAAATAAATCCTTGCTTTATTTTGGTCTAACACAAAAAGACTCACTAGGTTCACATATACACTCAGTTTGTGTACACAGCAACATGAGTTTTGAGAAGTGTAAGTTCAACTATCTATTTCTAATACAGAACAGGTATTGTACAATATGGTTAAACTTTACACATGGCCTTCAAATTGAAAGATGACTTTCATTTCATCTCCAATATACCAACAATATATATCTAGGAGTTGGCTCTTGGGTTCTGTTAGAAAGAAAATCCCATTCTTAAGTATTATGTTGAGTAGTCATCTAAAAAATATGAATTACTATTTAACTGAGTATTTGATGATGGTGGGATAAAGGCAGGAAGCTGATGACCAGAACTGCCTTGGAAAAGGAGCCTAGACATGGAAAAGTCTGTGCAAAAATCTTGATAATTCTTAGTGGTTAAGGGCAATTTCATGCAACCAAGTAACATAAAATTAAGTCAATAACCTTAAAAAAGGTCAAAATGTCTTTTTTTCCCTTCAACAGAACAGAGAGGAATGTGGATAATGTACACACACTGGGTGGGGTTCTGTCAATGACAACAAAGACTGTGTCGGTTCATATCAAATCCAAGAATCAGACAATCAAACATTTAACCTTCTTGTGGTTTCTCTCAATATGCAGCATTCATTACGGTAGTTAGGTCTGTAAAAGAGCAAATAAAATAAGCCTTAGATGAGCTGGGATACTAACGAGGGAAGCCATCCATCCACACCTCTGGGGCACAACACTTATTTTTTTTTCTGAGGCCTGAATCAACACTAGCATTATGGCAGCAGTAATACTTAGCACACCAGCTTCAGAGGCTCTGCTTTTTATCTAGCAGAAAGTGAAATGCTATTTTTAGTGTTCTGCTATAACAAACAAACAAAAACCCTGAGGAGTAAACCTTGTCAGCAAGGGCATGGTGGCACCTGCCTTCCATCCCAGCACTTAGGGGGCAGGGACAGGTGGATCTCTGTGTTCCAGGGCAGCCTGGTCTACAAAGTGAGTTCCAGGACAGCCAGGGTTACACAGAGAAACAACCCTGTCTCAAAAAACAAAAACAAAACAAAACGAAATTAAACTGTCTACTCTCTGGTAGGGAGGAAGGTGTAGTAGCGTGCAAGGAACTGTTCACTACAGGTATACACAAAGCCACTGCAATAGATATAATCTGTGTTGTAGGACTGTACTGTTAGAACAGCAAGCTGTATAAGACTGAAAATCACACGGCTGCACACAGATCACCCAAAATATTTACTTTAGTTACTTGGGGCACACACGGCACAACAAAGTACAAAAGTTAACAACATCAGTATGTCTAGTCTTTGCTTCTGAAGAAAGAATAAGAGATGAAACAAAGTCTAGATTTCCTTTAAACTTTATATGGCATACATATGACAAAGATAAATTATTCCTGTTTCATAAAAGAATTAAAATTTTAACTTAGTTTTATATTTTAGGTTTCATGTGTGTCTATTTGTGTGTGCAGGCCACAGAGCACACGTGAAAGACAGCTGACAACTTATAGGAGCAGGTTCTCTCCTACCATGTGGATTCTGGGATCAGGACTCAGGTCCTCAGGCTTTGTGGCAAGTAACTTTATCCACTGAGCCCTCTCACAGACCCAAGAACTGCATTTTGATTTAGACTCCACTCTAAATTATGTCAGGTTATATTTCCCCAAGGAGATGCTATTTTTGTTTTCCATCTCATTAACCTAAAAATATTAACCACTTGTAGTTCTCATGGGATGGGGAAAAAAAGGGAACCCAGACCCCAAATATTTTCCCCTAAAACAGCTTGAGTTACTTCACAAATAACTCAACACACGTGCATGTGATGTTCCCATTTAATCAAAGCCTGCCATACTTACCCTATCAGATTACTATAGGACCTTCACAAGGAGAGAAGAGATCAAGCCTACCATTTCCACAGGGGACAAAGATAGACTTCTTAACTTTTCTGCCCCTACCCCAAACAAGGAAGCTAGCAGATCTTTACTTTTTTTTAAAATCATATTTACAACCTGTGAATCTGAAAAATGCAATGTCTGGAAATTGACTTATTTATTAATAAATGAAAATACTAGACATATGATTATACTCACAGATACTTAGGAGGACTCTCTTCCTTTGGAAGGAGGAAGATACCCAAATAATAAGAAATTGTTAATCAATCAAAGAAACCTTCAACAGTATATTTTCTTAATATAATGTAAAAGGCACTATGTTTATGAGGCAGGACATTCATTTAACAGCTCTATGCACATTGAAGAATATTGTGAAGCAGATCCACAGTAGTCTCAGAGCACTGTCGATGCACTGAAGAGCTGATGGTACCACTGTGACTTTAGGAACCCCGCCTCTATTTTTAAATGGGGCACCGTCAAACGGTGCTGGTGGAGCAAATGCAGAGTCTCCGACTTGTAAATGTCTGTGATTTGCACATGTCTGTGATGACTGCTGTCCTCACTTCTAGTCATTTCTAATTCAGAACTACTGGGATCTATACTGGACATAGGACTCTGGTATCTGCCAGTCCTGATACTTCTCTACCTAAAGAGCCAATGTGGTGCTCATGCTTTGTGGTCATCTTTTCTATCTTGCATGGATATGCTGACTGACATCTGGAAGAGCCAATCAGATTCCACCTTGAGGTATTTTAATGGGAGGCACACTGAAAGGCTTTACAGGGCAGCAGAGTTAATGGATACCCAAAATACGGCAGACAGAAGCCAAAAGGATTTTTTTCATGGAGTACCATTTTTAAGTGAAAAAATTGATGTTAAGATTTGGATATTTGGTGAGTTGAGCAGTAAGGTGCAAGTCAAAATTACAGTGAGACTCCATCTCATTCCAGTAGCGGTGGCTATCTCTCATCAAGAAAACAAACAACAAATGCTGCTGAGGATGCAGGTGGAAAAGGGAACCCTAGCACAGTGTTGGGGAAACAAACTGGCAGAGCTACTATGAAATCTGCATGGAGGGTTTTCAAAAGACGAAAAATAAGGGCTGGGAGGTGCTCCATGGGTAAAGTGCTTGCTGCTCAAGCATGAGGGCCTGAGTTCGGATCCCCAGCACCTGGGTACAGCTGGGTACAGCAGTGTGTACGGGTAACGCCAATGCTTGTAGAGGAAAGCAGAGATGGGCAGGAGGGGGTGCAGGAAGGCTGTCAGCCAGCCTAGCAAAATCTGTGAGCTTAAGGCACAGTGAGAAATTGTCTTTTTTTTTTTTCTTAAAGAGGTTGAGAGTGATGGAGAATTTTCAGTGTTGCCCTCTGGTGTATACATGTGCAGGTATGCATGCATACAAATTAAAAGCAACAACAATCAGACAGAATTACTGATCATATATACCACTCCTGAACATACATACACACAAAGAATCAAAGCATACAGTAGAGGTACCTGTACACCCATGTTTACTGTGGCACTTACTAACAACAGTTCAGTTATGGAATCATGCTAGGTGCTTATGAAAGGATAAGGAAAACTTCACACACACACACACACACACAAGTTTTAGTCATAGAATGAAACTATGCTGTTTGAAGGAAAATGACTGGAACACAATGATATAAATAAGACTTAGAAAGACAAATAAGGCTTTTAAAAAACCATATATAGATTCTAGATTTAATATAGGAAAGGGATAAGCTGGATGTGGGAGGGGACCAGGCCTGGGTAAATATAATAATGGTATAAATGGATGAAAACTTTTTAATGAATCTGTGTAGTTATTATACACTAATAACAAGCTTTAGTATTGGCCACTTTGTAAAAAACAT